GAAGGTTTCTCATTCCCTTGATGCAGTAAAACGGCTTTCAAGCTCAACTTGCTGCTATCGATGAATAAACGCCATTCAGCTGGATCATATGGCTCACCAAACTCTTCAAACAAGCCGTTTACGTCATGGCAAAAACATGCCTTGTCCTTTGTAGAATAATATTTGTCAAATTTCTTGTGACGATTCCTGTGACAAGAAATTTTGACCTCCTTGCTCAGCATGTTGTGTTCTTTCAAGCGTGATGCCAGCAATTCGGATTTCTCCTTCGATAAGTCGAGATCTCGCACCAAATCATTAAATTCGGATTGTGTAAACAGTTTTGGGTTTCTTTCCAATTCCACCTCGAAGTCTTCCTCGCATTCCTCCTTGAATTCCTCCTCACTTTTTGTAACGGTCGACTCACCAGAGGGCGCTCGTTTCCGCTTTGGATAAACAGGATACGGGACCGAACTTGAATGTGGAACAGGTTTTGTCATAGAAGCCACTTGTGGATACTCAACTGTTTTGTGACGTGCTTGTTGCTTAACTTTTGTCAAGCAGAAATAACAATCCGTTGCATGACAAAACGGTCGACGCCATATGGTGGGCATGTCAAAGGACAAATAGCGACTGACAGATAACAAATAAGTGAGTTAGTAAGTAAGACATTAACACTTATCAAAAATAGATGAAGTAAGATAATGTCGATCAGGAAAGAACAAAGCACTATCATGCAGTACATAAATTGTTTATATGAAAGTTATTCAAAAAATCAATTTACCTTGCGCCTGACATCCACCATCCAGCCAAGCACGTTTTGCACGAACTACATAATACTTTTGGAATCCACGGTTTGTCAAAGTCTCCAGGATCAATTTTAAAATAAAGCCTGTATGCAGTTTGCAACGAAGCAGTGAAATTGACCGATTTTGTAAATATATAGTTGCCACACGCGTAACAAAACTTTTGAGGATCATTTTTACACTTGAATTCACGTTTTGTCGTATACATCGTTAAGCAATGTTAAAGAAAGAAAGCTGTCAAATTGATTTGGTTGCGTTAGGTTCTTGCCGAGCGGTCTCACAAACACTAGCGTAAATTATATTGTTGAAAATATCCCATTTAATTTTGCGTGACAGCTGGTAGTGTTAGTGAAATGCACCGTATGCGTACACGTCCGCAGAAAGGCTTACTGGAAGTGGTGCATGCACCTAGGAGCGTGACAACGGCCAATCTTGGAACATTCAATTTCCATGATTTTACAAAAAAAATCATAACTTCGACAATTTTCAACCGATTTCATCGATTAAAGGCTCATTTTCTCCAGTTTTTAATGGACTTTAAGAATAAATTATGGAATGATTTTTTGAATCTTTTTATCCCATCAAAAATGTTTATTAAAACAAGATTTTTATTGAAAATTCGCAGGAAAAAAAATGCTGTAAATTTTTAACTGACTTCAAAATTAAATTTTTAATCAAGACATAATATTCTAGTGAACGATAGCAAATTTATTTAGCTTCATTTTCATAAAAAAAAGATTTAAAATTGGTGCACTAGTTCCAAAGATATTAACATTTTAGTAATCGTACTTTTGTCCAAAATTCAAAAATTTCAAAAATTTTGTATATCTCAAAAATGGCTCTACTTTAATTTTTTCTGACCACGGCATTGAATTCAGCGTAGGATTTTGCATTAGAAACGTTGGTCAACCACTAAAGTTCACACTTTTTATATTGTTTTGTAAACTAGTGTAATCTGTTTTAAAAACTAACTGAGTTCCTCGAAATCATTTTGGAGCATTAGAAAGAATGATTTTTGTTCTCGCAGAGACTTTAACATAAGGAAGATTGCGTTCCATCTTGTCGCTCCAGGAATAGGTGGAAGATGTGCTTTGTGAGCTTAGAAAACTTCTCTATTTTTACCCAGTCCAGTTTTCTTACATTGTTTTTTTTTACGTTCTCGATTTGGCGGCAATGCTTTTTAAGGACATCAAATACAGTCAACTGGCAGGTGTGAGCAGCGCAGTAACGGACAAAATTTCCTCGTCGTCTTCATCAAAATCACTTTGGGTACCGTCTGGCTCGTTTTTGTCTGCTTCGCCAACCTCCTCGTCAGCCTCTGGCTCGATATCTTTTTGAGGTTCATCTTCTACTTCCATATCGATTGCTGTTTCTTCGAGAGCGACATCCGTTTCCACCAGGTCTACCAAACGATTACTGGAAGAATTTCCGATTACCCCATCGAAGGCTGAGGTTTCCTTCTTCAGCAGACTTGCGATGCCTTCTTTGATATACTCGCGCAGATTTGTAACTGAAACCACCATGTTTGCGCCGCTGTCATGGACAACCGTCAATATTTTTAGACCAACAATTAAAATAGGCGGAACAACCAAACGTAAACAATGGCTTTAAACACAAAATTCTCGAGAATCAAAACACTTCCACGTAAACTAACAATGCCATTCGAAAAAGGAAGTTTGCTCTATCAGATGATGGTGTTACGTTGCTTGGATGCGTTTAAAGCCATTGTTTACGTTTGGTTGTTCCGCCTATTTCAATTGTTGGTTTAGATTTGTTCTGGCAGTATTCCATATCGTTGGATAACCTCTTCAACGATTGTTTGGCGAAGATTCTTCGTCGTGTGACTCTTTACCATTTCCTTGATTACTGAAATTAAAATGAATATTATGATTGTGCCTCAAGTACGCCAATTTCAACCTACGAAGCGATCTAGTAACTATTTTTCCATCTTTGTAAAATGCCTCGTTTACGGCAAACGAATGATGGTTCCGTCTGGAGACACTATCAATCTTTAGATGGAGTGCCGAACTTTCATCTCATCTGCGAGGAATTTCCTTCCTATGTAGAGCGCTTCCTTTATCGACCATATCGGTCAAAGTTTTTCTGTTCACTGACAGATTAGCAGCTTGCCACAATGGCCCAACCAAGGGTTTGAATCCCATCCATTCAGGGTAGCTCAAAGGAAGTGAATGAGCACTTACCAGCTGCAACGTTCTGAGTAACATGTTTGTTTGTGATGTTTCGACACTGATTTTTCTTGTTTTCCTTCGCTTTGGCGTAGGCTCCGTGTCCTTATCAAGAGCTGGCAGGCCGAGGAATTCCAACTTCTCCGGATGATTTGTTCGCACAAAATTACCATGAACCAATTTCCCTTTCTGAACATAGTCACAGTTCTGTATAGCGACACACCGGAATTTATTGTCCTCTGTCACTAAAGCAAACCCCACACGCATCAATATATTGACGCGAAGGGGAATTATTGACAATAATATTGATGATGTGAATTCAGAAATATTGTCAATCTCGATGTATTGACGTCAATATATAATGTATTGACAATATGATTATTGTCAATAAAAGCAATCGTGTACGGTCCACTTAAAATAGCCGGTGCGATTATGGATCTCTGCGTTGTGCGTCGCTCCATTTTCACTTTTTTTCCAAGTTAACACACACCCGTAGCACACCAGCAGATAAAGAAAATGACAGAAAATCTCACGTGAGTTTTTTTATTATGACTCAAGCGAGTTTTTCTATCATTTGAGATTGTAACGATTGATGTTTTGAGTGAGTTACCATTGCATATCACTAGTCCGTGCGGATCTATTTTAAGAGCAAATTGATATTATATTTATCATGAGTGGAACAACACTGCTTGGGATATGCGGGATCAGTTTTCCAAAAATTACGTTTCCTGATTCCAAGGAATCTGGTTCGGTTTCCTGGAAAACGTCTTATTTTCATTGGCGTAGCTAATGGGGGTGCCAAGCTCCAGAATTATCGAGGCCCCTCCCCCAAAAATGTTTGGTAATAGGGCTGTTCATAAGCCACATAGGCACAGTGACGAATGGGGGCAATAGGGAGAGGGAGTCTAAAGCCTCTCATAAACTGTTTGCGTAGTTTATGAATAGCCGCTAATTTCCTTTCGATTCCGTTATAATTGCATATGTTTGACAATCTATTATCTGTAGGCTGTAAACATATTGATAGTTTCCCCAAATTACACAGTCAATAAAACGAGCTAAAGATCAACAGGTTATAAATCAAATAAAATAAACAAAATAGGGTAAATGATGGCTTCGGCACCCATTACCTGTTTTCGGCAACCAACAATAATTTCGCTGTATTTTCTCATCAAAACACTTCACTGAATGTATTTAAACGATTCCTTAGTCTTTCAGCTTCAATCTGATTACATTTTTACAACTACGCAAACTTGCCATATGTCAAGTTCAAATGGAAAGGTTGCCGATACTATTTACACTCACCTGAAAAGTTTTGAACGATGTGAAAACGTTTCAAATCGCTTTTGACAATTCTGTCGATTGGAATGGGTAGAATAGCAAGCAGCAGATAAATGTAAACGAATGTGTGCGTGACGCAGAGAAATTGCTAACAGAAGGACTGACGCTGCTTAGATTGACGAGAATACGGAAATTCCCCTATGTTACCATCATTAATGGGGTAATCGCCAACCCACAATATCGTTGACACATTAATAATTTGGATGGACCTTTATCACATCTGATTGAATTCACGTGGGGAAATTGGAAGCCTTGTAGCTTTGCTTTTCCGTGACGACAATGCACTCGAATCCAAATACCCATAAGTGTATAATTTATGATAACCAAGAACCGTTTATTTAAAAACAATCAATTATTGACTTTCTGTGATGGCAGGTTCATATGGCAGTTCTGCAAGGGCGACACGAGTTCATGAATAAATTATTTATTTCAAACGGTTTTCCAGCGACTTCTATTCATTATATCAATCGCATTTCCCACCCCGCAAGTCCGCATCGATCTGGATCACAGCCGAATCGTGCTTACACCGGACAACCAAATCACGCCCGCCATAAGCGTCACAATAATATCACCCGACTACGTACTTGAAGATGCTTAGATATGTGTCACGTTTCGACGACGATTTCGCAGCACACGTATCTACCAAACTGTGTTTATTGATCTCCGTATTTTCCTCTCCAATTCACACCTACAGGACCATCCCACTGGGGCGAACAGTACAACAGTTGCACCGGCAAGCACCAGAGCCCGATCAACATCAACTCGCTGGACGTGAAGAAGGTGAACCTGCCACCGTTGGTCTTCGAGGGCTTCGACGTGCCACCGCAGCAAACCAATCTCACCAACAATGGACACACGGGTGAGTCGTCTCGTAGGTTAAGTCAACAACTTGCTTGTGGAAAGTTTGGACTGCCTGGTTGAATGAGAAGCTGTTATTGTTCGAGCAATTTAGTTGTTGACAAACTGGTCATTGGTGCAAATCTTCGACATTAACCGAAATCAGTTGTAAAGTTGTTATGTTCATTTTGAGCTGATGAGCAAAACAAGGCTACGTAGAGAGGGTGCTCGCCGGCTTTGGAAGCATGACCTTTGTTGTTAATCTTTCTGTGATGCAACATTCCATCCGAATTTTCAATTTACTTCCCAAGACAGAGGCGTAGTCAGGATTTAGTGTTTTGTGGAAAGCTCTCAATTTTGCGCCCCCAAGGTTAAATTTTCATTAATTAAAAAAAAACTACAAGAGACTATTCTATGAGGTTGTACGTAATTAGGGTTACCATATGGTATCCTAAAGGAGGACATGTCTTCCTTTTTCAATATTTTTTCTACATCCTGCTTTTGCCTGAAAATGTCCTCCTTTTTAATCCTTGCATTTATTCCAGTTACATATTCATAAAATTGTTTTCAAAGAGCGTTGTTTGCAGAGCTTATTTGTTTAACCTCATCTTATCTAGCAAATACCATTCGATGGTGAGACTAGGAGTATACTACAGCTGTCAACCCCCGCACATTTAGGCTGCGATCCATTTGGTAAACTTTCACTTAAATTTGACAGATGAAACATTTTCAAATAAACTTGCTTAATTCAGATATACCAGGAGCCTCCCTTAGTTCAGTCGGTAAAGGCGCAGCTACAAAGCAAGACCATGCTGGAGGTGGCTGGGTTCGATTCCCGGTTCGGTCTAGGAATTTTTCGGGTTGGAAAATGTCTCGACTTCCCTGGGCATAGAGGTATGATTGGACTTGCCACACAATCATATCAAAGCAAAAATGGTACAGGCATCGAAAGCTCTCAATTAATAACTGTGGAAGTGCATGTAGAACACTAAGTTGAGATCACGCAATAAGCTATTATGCGATATGCAATAAGCTTGAAATGCGAAGAAGAAGAAGAAAAAGAAGAAGAAGAAGAAGAAGGAATCAATTTTGACAAATAATTTCTCGAAAGTTGGACGATGAACAACAGAGGGATCTACAAACATTATAATTTATTTACGAAGTATCAGTGAAAATTCATAATTTTTTTCTGAATTTTTACTTAAATTTGACATTTTGGAAATAGATTACAATGTTCGAAAATCTCTCTATTGTTGATTGTGTGATTTCCAAAAAGGTGTTTGTCAAAATTAATTCATGTTCTGCCAGAAACAAGTCTGGTACAGTAGCATGTTTATTTGAAATCTTTCTATCTGTCAAATTTAAGTTAAAATTCACCAAATGGATCACAACTACACAGATTGAGTTGCTTCAGTACCGCGGGCGTCCATGTACGGGCGAAAGCCTTTAACTGTACGGACGCCCACGGTACTGAAGCAAGTCGCCAGCTGGGGCCTTAGCGGCCATATCATCCATTTCGTCTAAAATTTCCTGACTGGCTGATCCTTCCGAGCCTCGGTAGATAATACCAAATCCCGCACTTTCTGCGAGGAAACTGGCGTTCCCCAAGGTTCAGTGATCGCTGTCACTTTGTTCCTGGTAGCCATGAACAGTGTCTTCGAGCGGTTACCAGCGAACATCTGCATTTTCGTGTACGCAGACGACGTTCTAATCATAGCCACAGGTCAAACTCCGGGACGAACAAGGATCAGAGCCCAAGCAGGGGTTTCCGCCGTAGTCATATGGGCCGCTTCGAAAGGTTTTCAGCTGTCTGCTGAAAAGAGCGCTAGGTGCCACGTTTGCCAGTGCTGCCATCGGGTCTGCGGACCTTCCATAAAGATCGGTAATCAAGCTATCCCATTGAAGAAAACTGTGAAACTGCTGGGGGTTGTCATTGATCGGTCGCTCAGTTTTGACCACCACCTTTAAGGGGTTAAGGCCAGATGTCGCAGCAGGATCATCTTCATCCGCACAATCTCCCATACCCACTGGTCCAACAACGGAGAAGTACGTTTCCGTGTTGCCCGGGCCATCGTAGACAGCCGGCTGATGTATGGACTCGAGCTGACCTGCATCGCCACCGACAAAGCAATACAAATACTCGCTCTGGTACAATACCTACACGCGCATCATCTCCGGTCTCCTATCCTCGACGCCAGCCGATGCCAGCTGTGTCGAAGCCGGCATTTTTCCCTTTCCGGTACCGCATCTATGCAGCCATTGCCAACAAAGCCGCTGCATTTTCAGCAAATACCGCCGGAAACGACATAATCTGCCTCCTTAGCGAGGGGGACAGAGTTCTCCGCACAATCGCCAACGCAGAGATCCCCCCAGTGGCCAAGATTCACTGGTACGGAGATAAGAGTTGGCAATCTCCCGCACCAAACATCGACAATTCCGTAGCCCTTAGGAGATCGGTAGCAGAGCTGACCGGATTGTACCCAAACTACATGCATCGTTACACGGACGGGTCAAGATCGAGAGCTGGAGTCGGAATGGGAATCGCTGGTGACATTTCCTCAACGAGTAGAAGTCTGCCAAAACAATGCGGATCGTCCAATTCTGATCCTGTCGGACTCCCACAGTGCTATTCAGGCCCTTTCGTCGGAGGTCCCGGTCCATCCCTGGATCCAGGGCGTCCTGAAGGTTGCGCCACCAAACACTGACTACCCATGGATTCCCGGACACTGTGGGATCGCAGGGAACATCGAGGCGAACAACCTAGCCGGGTCAGGCCCATCTGGTCCTCGGTACTCGCACAAGGTACCGATGCAGGACGTGAAGAGATGGATCACTTGCACAGCGCGGACAGCGCACAGTCAGTGGTGCCAAGGGTATCAAAACACGCACTTTTTTATATACGCTGAAATGGTTGAGTAAAGGTACTATGTGTCTTCTGAGAAGTTTCTCGGGTTACAACACTTCTTCTTAGGGTAAAGAAAATTAAAGATAATAATAAATGAAAAAGCGCGTGTTTTGATACCCTTGGCACCATTGTGCAGCGTGGGCAACGGAATGGTCCACTGCCAGACTTCCGTTTATTAGAAAAATTAAATTAAATTAAAAAAATAAATAAATAAAGCAACAGATTGAATCAATTGAATTGAATGGTTCTATGAGATTTTAGGTATTCCAAGCATAAATATTCAAATCGACGTTCCTGATTTTCATTGGCGTAGCTAGAAAATTTATTTGGAGAGGGCCAAAAGGGGCCTGCTGCACATTTTTGAATTTTGCAAAACTACGGGTTATTAAAAACTCACTCAAATTGTGTCCAAGGCAACTTATTTTTGGGTACATTTTTTTTTTCGGTGACCAATAATATGAAGTTGAGGCTTACTATTATTTTAATGGTGAAACAATAAATTTGATTATATTTATTCCATAACAACGATTGGGACCTTTGAACAAGCAATGATCGTTTGTTCATGTTTTTTGTAATAAAATCACAGTCCGGATCTTGTAAATTTAAGCATCCCAAACTTAAGAAAATTCTCAGGGTTAGGTAATTTCATGAATTTTGTAACTAGATTTTTTTATTGAGCAGTTAAGTCTCAGACATAGGAACCAAAATTAAAATTCTAGGAGTTTGAATTTTAAAATTTTATAAAATTCTGGCTGTTTCAAGGTAAAGTGCACACAGTATAAAATTTAATACATTTAGGACGTAGGAAAATGTTCAAGATGTACAATTTTTCGACGTAGGACTACGTTGGTGATTTCTTTATGGGGGTACACTTTGTGAAAACTGAAAATGCAACATGCAACGAGATTATGAAAGACTTTGAACGTTAATAACTCAGCTGTTCCTGGACCAATATCAATAATTTTATCACCAATCGATCAGAAATATTTCTACGCATCGATATTGCTTTAACAATAAATTATTTAAAAAATGAGAAATGTCAAGAATTGTTAAAAAGCGTCGAAATAACTAACAAATTCACAAATTACGTACATGCATATGCTGCAGATGCACAATCCTTAACATTGTTAATGTTAAAATAAAAATAATGTTGTGATCCCAAACCCATATGTTTTCAAGATTTTGTAACTAATAAAAAAGGATATTCGAAAAGAAAGAAATTTTATACATATTAGGTACTTGCAGAAATTGACATTTCTGCCCAGAATTTAGCTGCTGGAGTGCAAATTTGTGACAATATAGCTAAAACATCAAGGCACGGGTCTTCCCTATATAGAATGTACAAATATGGCCATAAAATCAAGATTCATCATTCAAGAATCCATCTGATTCCATAATCTGGCAAACATTTGAATACTTCCTGATCAACCTACAACCTATCAAATATCCAGTGAACTTTACTAATATCTTGGACTATGTGGAGATCTTTCGAATATTTTCTGATGTCTAGAAAGGATGTTTGAAAGAATATCCTGTAACTTATGCAACGTTTCCTGAACATCTACAAAACTTAGGTTTTACAAAATTTCCTCAACTTCTTCGAAGTTCCCTGAATTTAATCCACATTCCATATTTTTTTCCATTTCTTTAAATTCTACAAAGATTCTGAACATCTTTGCACTTCTGGAAATACACCTTAGACATCTACAAATATTCTTGAACACCTAGAAAGTTCCTTGAATTTAGCGAAGTTCCCAAAACCTCCAAGAAGTTCATGGAGCTTTTTTCGAGTAAGATCTCTGAAAAACTGCAACAAAGTTCCCTAAACAGAGGCGCAGATCCCTGAAGTTCTAAGAAGTTGATTGAACTATTTTTAGATCTGTTAAAAAATTCCCTGAACTTTTTCAAAATTCCTTACACTTATATGAGATTTTACGCAGCTCCTCAAAATGCTACGAAATTCGAAAAGCTTCTACAAAGTTTGCTTGAATTTCCACAATTATTTCAAGTCCATGAGGCTAAAAAAAACCATGAGGCTAAAAAATGTAGAGGTTCCCGATCAATAATTAGCTTCCCTAAAATAAAATAATGTTCCTTTAACTTCTACGAAGCTCTTT